TTTCAAATTTTGATTTTTTTCTATCACTGTAAAAAGAAAATATACGTCAAGGTATGTATGATTTAATTTGTTATTTTGACGGTGAATAGTAATCATTACAAACTTGTCTTCTGGATTGTCTATGCACTCAATAACCTGTCAAAGTTAGATTACCATTTTTTCAGCATGAGCTCCACTTTTGAATTTACTATGTAAGTAAATTGTTAAACACGTCCGAAATTATCAATACAATAAATTCACGACACGTGTTGAGCCCTAACCCCTAACCCTATCCCCTAACCCTAATATGATCTTAATCTAACTCTAATCTAATCTTTATCTGACACCATGGATAATAAAATAAATGGATAGGACTCTAGCTGACGTCACAGTCTAAACCTAGTTGCAATCTGTGACGTCACACGTACTGCCAAAGTTCTCGCTTTTTTGTTGTTTCGCTATATTTCCGCTTTAAAAGAGTAATATTGAAGCATAAACTGGTCTAATTGTTTTAAGAACATGCCTAAGCCACGACAAAGTATTCAAGGTAAATGTTTTTCGTCTTTTGTTTTGTATTTTTTACATTTGTAGCTACGAAATCGGCGTCACCAATTTTAACGAAATTTGGGATGCATTTTTCACTGTTTAGTGCTTGAAATATTTGCTAAAATTGACTGGAAATACTTAGAAATTTCATCGTAGAATGGCGTAGTTGTATTTATTTGCTCTTTGACTAAAATGTTTAGCTGTATTATTGCTAAACATGCCGTTTTCGAGAATTTGGTTTGAAACTAGGTTTCAACATCCAACCATGGCCACGCCATCATCCCATTGAAAACATTAGGTCATGTCAGCACAGAATAGGAAGGTATAGCAGAAGCGTAACTCAAGCAAGTATTTGTCCGCGTTTTTACAAGCGATTCGTCATCAATCACGCCATCCTGGCTAGTACAACCGGCACTTTGTACCTAGCAAAACCTGATAAAAACTTCCGGTTGTACTAGCCAGGATGGCGTGAGCGAGTTAAAATTTTCGTGGACGTAAAACAATAAGGGAAACGACTAGAGTTACGCTTCTGCTATAGCTTCTTATTCTGTGACGTCAGCTAGTTTCCTATCCATTTATTTTCATTATCCATGCTGACTAAACTTTTTTAATAATGATAGTTGATTGACATTTATTAACATTGTCAACGATTAATAATTGACTTCCAGGAGGGGTGTAGATAAAAGGCAGACGGACGGCGGACGGTGGACGATGGACGGCGGAGCATTTTATAAACACACGATTACTCACCGCAACTAATTATAATACCCTAAATTAAAGTATACCAGCCTTAGATCTGAGAAATGAGTATGTTTTCACCCGTTCGAATTTTTGGCAATGGAATTTTTTAATCAGCATTCAAATGATTCAATACGCATGTATGATGGCTATACGGCGTCTTTCTCGGGAAACTTTTGAAATATTGTAAAAAAGCGCCTTAGTTTTGGAGCTTCTGTTGAGGCAGAATTAAATGACACTTGCTAACATTTTCGTACTTTAAATAGTGCTGACTTGTTGTTTTATAATGAAAATAATCCCCGTTTTAATTATAAACCTAAGAGGTTCACACGTAGAAATGGCCGATTTGCACGCGACAACTATTCTATATATGGATTTTAGAAATATTATGTATTAGGGGCGGACAATTTGACGGGGTGGATTTTCATTGAGTTCAATAATTTTCTAAACCTCCTAGTGCTGCTGTCATTCAAGGCTCTTGGACGATTTTTGGCGTCTACTGGAACAGTAGTCGCCATTATTATGCTGTCGACAAAAGGTTTAGATAGAGTGGACGGTCCACTTTTCCTGCGAACAGGCTCTTTTGTTAGGCTAAAGCCCGCGCATTTGCGAGATTTCCGACGTTGTTATAAAGAACTCCGCGAGTATTTGCCGTAGAAATACGAAAATAGCACAAACAAATTCCGCTTGAAAGATACTATATACTAGAACAATGTAAAATAGCCATAAAATATAAACTAACCAAACTCGAACACTGTGCATTCGAACAATGTAAACAATGTACGACAATGTATCACTAAGCCATACCTTTCGCCGAGTATAACTTTAGCCCCTTTCAACCTATCTTTTTCGTAATATTCTTGTTCGAATCACAACCCAAGACACTACGTAGAGTGTTATTTTCAAGTTTATATCTACAGATTTCCTTTTATTTCGGTATTTCAGAGTATCTAAATTTTACGCGAGAGCCTCGACCGGAAATACAGCTTGACATATTAAAACAATGCGATGTTTTACATCCTGGCACTCGGGAAACGTCGGAAATTCTAAAGGTCAAATTACCCCTTCGTATAGCGTGATTTGCACGTGCATCGGGCTATGGGTGCTCATTATTGGCCAATTTTAGCGTGTGGCGCGCGTGCGAGTAACAACCCGATATTCTGAAAAATTCAAAATAAATATTTCTAGTCCGCCGTATTCAAACGAAACTTTGTACACGAAAGCGCTTGAATACAAGTGATATTTCTGTCACTCCTATTGACTTAGTCTGAAGAGTTCAGAGGTATTCCATTTTTTTCTCCATATGAAGTGCAGAATGTTTGGCCAAGCGGTGAGTAAATATACGATTGTTTTGCTTTGTGTAATGTTATGACGGCATTTGACGGACCGTTCGAAAGGTTATTTGATGGGGACCTCAACGGTGGTTTTCGTTTTAAAGGGCGGGAAATACTGCATGCCGAGATATTTTAATCTTCCCCACTCCAAAGTCAGAAATGTAAATACAAACCGAACGGCATTGACATTCTTTGTTTTTTTATCCAGTAGACGCCATGTACGCTACAGCGTACCTATTTTTTTATTTTGTGGGCACATATAGATAGTAGGCATTCAGTATAGGCTATGGATCGTGATTTAAGAGAATTTTTTATAAAGTTTGCGGGACATGCAATTAACTACATTGGGTTATTGGTATTTTCCGACATATTTATGTAAATATGATATATTATAATATCTACTATATATGTAAATGTCATACAGTAATCCGAGTGTAACAAGTTGTTTGAAAAATGTATATATGTGTAACGTCAAGTAAGTTGGGCAGGGTAAATATTGGGTATTCTATTTTATGTATTGAAGGGCTTAGGGAAGGTTATAATTTCGTTTTACATTTTTATACAGTGGAATAGTAATGTGTAAGCATTCACATGAATGGACCTTGGCTACGTGTTAGCCTTTTAGTAAGTAAAACGGGGATTATTTTCATTAGAAAAAAATAAGTCAGCACAATTTAAAGTGTGGCAATGACAGCAAGTGAATGTCATGTAATAGCCTAATAATATTTAAATAATATTAATATTCAATGATAATTCAATGAAATTTAATTCAATGATATTTAATTCTAATAATATTTTAATAAATAAAATTCAATGATATTTAATTCTAATAATATTTTAATTCAATGACAGTGTTAGGGCAGTTATATACAGAAGCACAAAACCTAAGGCGCTTTTTTACAATATTTCCAAACGTTTCACGCGAAAGACGGCGAATAGCCTCCTATCATACATACATATTGAATATTGATTAAAAAATTCCATTGCTAAAAATTCGAACGGGTCAAAACATATTCATGTCAGTGATGTCACAGATTTAAGGCTGGTATACTTTAATTTATGGTTTTTTAATTAGTTGCGGTAGTAATCATGTGTTTAGAAAATGCTCCGCCGTCCGCCGTCCGTCGTCCGCCGTCCGTCGTCCGCCGTCCGTCGTCCGCCGTCCGTCGTCCGCCATCCGCCGTCCGTTGTCCGTCGTCCGCCGTCCATCGTCCGTCGTCCGCCTTTTATCCGTCCGCTTTTTATCTACACCCATCCAGGAGAGCTAAGAGCATATTAAGGTGGCTCCATACAGTTCCGTAGTATAAATACCTTATTGCGTAAAAATTTTAATTTATAAATTTTATCACTTCATCTATTAATTTTAAGCATTCCCGAGTATAAATTAAGTATTTAGTAGAAAAAATTTGCAATATTCTTGAACATAATATTGTTTCCATGGTAACAGTAGTCTCGCCAAATATGGTATTTTTTGCTATTTTAAGCTGGTTTTTATTATTTATTTTCCGAATATTGCCGGTGACACCCCATTTTTAACTGCTGTATAGCTTTCACTTTTAATGCGGAATCTTATCCCTGAAAATAAAAAAATTCTGTAGATTAGAATAGCCAGAATAAAAAATTGCGGATTTAGAGTTTTCCAATCTACAGATTTTTTTAAAATTTTGATATTCTATTTGTTTTAAAAGAAGTTATCGTTGTGCAAAATTTCACCACATGTCACCGTGCAAAATTTTGAATTACGCCGTTTTATTGTGGTATCTCACTCGCTCGGCCAAAAGTTTTTCGAGCTCTGCAAGATCAATGAATTGACATGCGCGCGTACATGTTTTCGCAGGCGCATCTCCAGAAAAACTCGCACAAAAAAGTTTTTAGTCTCGTCGAAATATCAAATATATGTTGTGTTTTCTTGCTTAGAAATGCAAATATATTTAGTTTTGCATGCTAACTCGGGATAACGCCAAGAAAACAGGTGATTGTGTCGTTTGGTATAAGATATGTGTGACATGTATGAACTTTTTGGCTTCTCTACATAGTTCTATATTTGTTTTCATGTTGTTGTTGACAATTTAAAACAGTTTGAGCCGGCGCATGCTGCTGTTTCACTGAATTCCTTTGCTGTTAGTAACACTTTGAATACATTTACCAGTTGTAAGTACAAAAAACTCTGGATATGAACTTATAAATCGCCAAATATTGGAGTAAAAGACTTTTTGCTGATCGGCCCGATCGCCGGTTTTCACAAGACCAACTAAGATGGCGGTCATGAAAAAATGCTCTCTGTGAATATTTATATTTTTTAGCACAAATTGAGTATGTTTATGTACTTTATTAAATATATTTTTGTGTTAACTATATCTTGAATAACAAAACCGATCACATTTGAGTTATACACTTGCCAAAATGTCAAGGACATCAAAAAATTCGAACAAGAACGCGACTGAGGAAGGCGAGAACCTAAACAACATATGGGAGAAATTTGAGCTTAAGCTGAATGATTGGGTTACAACAACTCTACCTACGATTGTATCAGAAGTCATCAAGTCTATAGCAGGGGAAGCTGTTAAAAAGCATATTGACGAATATGTGTCATCAACAGAATTCAAAAAATCCCTCGGTGAAAGCATCGATTTTGACTCGCAGCAACTGCATGATGAAATCAAATCATCCATAAATACTGAATTAAAGACGGGATTGATGGAGCTCAAAAACGAAGTGAACATGCTAAAAAATGAAAACGATAATTTGGAACAGTACACAAGAAGGTGTAATATCAGAATTTATGGGATACCTGAAGCCCCAACTGAGTCAACCGATGACATTGTCATATCTTTTCTCCAAAAGAAATTGGGTGTCACTATTTCAGAAGTGGACATAAGTAGATCACACCGAGTTGGAAAAAAGTCCAACATAGCACGTCCTATCATCATTCGATTTACCAAGCATAATACCAAAGTCATGATATTGAGGAAACGACACTTACTAAAACGGAATGGTCGGTCTCTATACAGGATTCAAGAAGACCTTACACAGACAAGAAGACAACTTTTGAAATATTTACATGATAACTGCAACAACAAAGTTGAGAAAGTATGGACAATTGATGGAATAATTCACTTCCGGCCAAAAACAAACACCTCTGTAATCTTAAAGTCTACAACCCTATCAAGCTGTATTAATCAATTAGATAAGTATTGACTTTTTTTTCCTACCTTATGACATATAATCTCTTACAGACTTCTATGATCTGTATATTGCATGTTAATATAATAACATGGATTGTAGTCGACTATATATATATATATGTACTACTTGTGGTGCACAAGTAGTACATATATATATATATATATATATATATATATATATACTTCTATGATCTGTATATTGCATGTTAATATAATAACATGGATTGTAGTCGACTATATATATATATATGTACTACTTGTGGTGCACAAGTAGTACATATATATATATATATATATATATATATATATATATATATATATATATATATATATTACTTTTCTTTATTCTGTTATGTCCCCCTGTTCTGTCTGTAAATGTAGGATTCACAGTTACTCTCGAGCCATTCTTTGTGACATATGTGGCCACTGGATACATCTTAAATGCACAAATTTTAGCCCTAATGATTATAAAACTATTTCAAATGATAATAACCCATGGTATTGTGCATCTTGCTTAACTGAGATATTTCCATTTAATCATTACCATGACAATGATGATTTTCTTTATGCAATTGATTATTCCCTCCAATCACGTCTCGATCTCAATAACCTTAATAATATGAGCTTCAATCCTTTTATCAATGACCCCGAAACATGTTCTTTGCTTAACAAACCTGACTTAGACCTAAACTCCAGTATTTTTGCATCTAATTCTGAAACACTTTCTAAATGTATATACTATACAACAGTGGAATTCAATGCTAATCTAACAAAACCCCATGACTACTTCTCGACAATGCATATTAATATAAGAAGCCTTAATTAAGAAAAATTTTAGTGATTTCATGGTTTTCATGTCCTCTCTTGATTGTTCCATATCTGTTATTGGACTATCAGAGACATGGCTTGACAATTTATCTTATGACTTATATCCTATACCAAACTATAACTTTATATCTAAACACAGAAATGTTAAGCATGGAGGTGGGGTTGGTCTATACATCAACTCCTCTTTTGATTTTAAACTTCGATCTGACTTGGAATTCTCTCACTCTACATATGAATCTATATTTGCTGAATTAGCTCAACCTCATGGCAAAAACATCATAGTAGGATGTATATATAAACCACCTGATGCTGATATTAACCAATTCAATGAAGATATCAACCAGATTTTCAATAAAATAAGTTTTGAAAATAAATTATGTTACATAATGGGTGACTTTAATGTTAATTTACTTAATTCCAACTCTCACAAGCCCACTAATGATTTTGTTGACATTCTTCTCCTTAATAGTTGTTACCCTACCATATCTAAACCTACTAGAATAACTTATCACTCATCCACTTTGATTGATAACATTATCACTAATAACTTAGATCATGATATGATAAGTGGCATTATTTATACTGACCTTTCAGATCATTTACCCATATTCCTACTTAGTGATCTAAATATAATACCTAAACCTGAGCCAAAAACATACACGACAAGACAAGTGACATCTCACAGTCTTGAACAATTTCAACGTAAACTGCAAAATGTTAACTGGGATGTTATTAATAATGATACAATGACTACTAA